CTTTAACCACAAAGCTTCCCTGGATTCAAGCTCTGTCTCTCCAAATCAGGGGCACCCATCGGCCTCTGCCAGTGTTCCCTGCCCTATGTCACAGCCTGTCTTTTTTGTTTTCTACCTCTTGGGGGAACACTGCCTTTCATTGCCAATGTCTTCATCTATCTCATTCGGTGTGTTAGTTATTGCACACGAGAAGGTAAATGCGGTTCCTGTTACTGCCTTTTGTTTGGGAACAGAAACTTTTCCAATTCTCCTTTGAGAGTCCGCTTCCTAGAATCATGCCTGAGATCAACAGCGCTGCGTCAGTTTTCAGGAAACGAACTCCTGCACTCAGAGATTTGAATGGTTGATGTTTACTAGTGAGTGTTTTGGGTAACATCTCTAAATGGAAGGCAAGCAGGATGAGACAGAGGATAGAGTGCAGTGTCGTTGTGACCAAAGTCTCCACCAGTAGCAAGGGAGCTCTGGAAAGAGAAGAAACTTTCGGGATTGTGGAGGTTTTATCCCCTCCCTTACATGCACTAATGAGATGCAGGCAGCTGTCCAGGAGAAGTCATGACCTTGGGCTGAGTGACATAACCGGCTCTCATAGGGGAGGTGACTGCATCATTGTTCAACTTCAGGTTCCTATGCAACCCCATGAAGTGTTTTATTACACCCTGGAAAACTATTGCTTCAAATTTAAACAACTAGTCCAAATGGAAATTGTTTTTCGGCCACTATCATGAAAATATCTTAATTCCTTAGTCTCCCATTTTTGTTAAGAATCCCTACTCTCAAAGATAATTAAAACTATAAGTTAATATCTACCCAGACTAATGAGACTATTTTGAGCAGGGACATTTGGCTTCATATCTGCGAGGTTCAAATCCTCCATAACTAGTGGGGTCCGGAGAGGCAGAACATTAGGGGACAAGACTGAATCTAAGTTGCAATTTTTAATATTTTCCATGACCTGGAGTAACCATTCCTCTATACTCCCTCTGAAGGGGGTGGTGTAGCAGAGGGCTGAAGAGCGACCACAAGTATAAAGTTTTAGTTTTGCAAGATGAATAAGTTCCAGGGATCTGTCGTACAGCATTGTGTCTACAATGAACAACACCGTATTGTACATTCAGAAATATGTTAATATCTTGTATTAAATGTTCTTACCACAGTAAAGAAATACAATACGATACAACACAACATGATGTAATAGTGTGCACTCTGAAACCAGACTGATCACATTTACACTGTGGCTCCACTCCCTCTGTGCTTTGGACTTTGGCCAAAAGCTCACATTTCTTCTCTATAAAATGGGCTGATTGTACACCTCATAGGGCTGTGATACCGAGTTTGAGGCAGATTAATGGGATTGTAAAGAGCATTGGTCCGGCGCTAGACCGCATGGTGAGAATCCTGCCTGACACTTAGTAATTTAACTTACCCTTTCTGCCTGTTTCCTTGTTTACACAAAAAAGAGATTGTAATATTAATAAATTCCTAGGTTGTTTCTATGAATTATGTGAGTTAATGCAGGAAAAGAGCTTTGTAGAGTGCCAAGCAGACAGCGAGTTCTCAGTAGGTGTGAGCTCCGATGATGAGATGTTGAAGGAGTTTGCAACTTTGAACCAAATTTGGTGAGAACTCAAACAGATCCTGCTCTCGTGCCCTTGGAGGCTAGCACGTGAGAAGGGCCAGGGCATAAGGGCATAAGGAAGGATAAAAAGAAAGCAGAATATTATAAGAATTTTAGGACACATAAAGCTCTGTGGTAAATAAAGGAAAATGAAGTCAACTGTACAGAAGAATGGCACTCGAAGGACAAAATTTGAAAGGTGAAGTCACCGGAATCAGAAGCAGAACGTGTAGAATTTACACCTTCTCATCTGATTGCTTAAATTCTAGGGGACTTATACCTGACCTGACTGCAAAGACGGGCTGAAAGCACCATGGATGTTAACTGTTTCTGGCCACGGGACCGAGTGTCTAAAGGCGCCCAGAACTAAGGCTTTAAGAAACAGGAATGCTGCCCCTCTCTTTGCCCGACCCCTCCTAGTTCCAGTCATCTGGAGCTCCCAATGGTGGGTGGAGAAGTGATTACCAAAGTTCACTTCCGCATTTCAGCAGATCCCCAACTAGTCCAAAGAGAGAGCCCTGCCTGTTCTGTTTCTGCAGGCATGGGGAAGTGAGTGTTTCTAACGACTTCCCTGTGGAGCCCGGGAGTGTTCCTGTTGCCTGAGGTCAAAAAAACTCTTCCTCAAAAAGTTAGGATAGATCGGAGAGAGGCTGCACTGTGGGTAGTAGCTCTAAGAACAGATAAGTCCTGTTTCTCAGCCTTTGGAAGTTATTCAACAGCCAGAGAACTTAGAAATCCATGAGCTGAGTTGCAGGGCAATCGTCTGGATTTGTGACTCTGAAAGATTGCAACAAGGTTAGTTAGCCTGGGATACTGCCAAGAGCAAAGGCTGTGTGGAGTTTGGCTCAGCCTGCTCTGCCCACTGCCCCATGTACCCGCAAACTTCTTTACCTCTCTGCATTATAGCTTCTTTACTTGTGAAATATGATATTAGCTATCATTATTTGAGTGTTTATGATGTCCCCAAACACAACATTTGAGCTAAGTATTATCTTTCCCTTTTCACAAAGAGAACGGAATCCAGAGGGTATGAATAACTTACCCAAGGTAACTCAGCTAATAAGAGTCAGCATTAAAATTCATGTTTCCCTCTAAAGCCTATGCATGCCCTAAGGAGCTAGCACCCCTCCCTAAGTCAGGCATGTAGAAGGAATGCAATAAATCACAAATATTACTGGTATTTCAAAACGGCATTGGCCATGATTACCATCTGTACAGAACACAAATGTTTTTCTTAAAAGATACATGTAGGGCCGATTGTCCTTTTTTTGCACTGACACATAGGAATACCATTTTATGGCTTATAGGGGAGCATATTTGCCACTTAGAATAATGGCCTGACCAGCGTTTAGTTCCAGAAAGAAGAGAAATTCTGTTTATGGGTGCTGCATACATAGCATAATAAAGGAGAAAGAACACTGGACTAAGAATCAATTAAGGACTTTATATTTTCAAAAAATTTTTTTTCATTATCTCATTTTATTCTTATGTCAACTCCCTTATTTTTGTCCTAACTTAATAGAAGAGAAAGCAGTTTCTGAGTGGGAGTACTGGTATGTTTGGCTAGAACACTAGACCAGTGTTCCTCCCTTTAGTGCTTCTAATCCAGACTACACAAGTAGCTGTGAAACTTTTGCCAAGACACTTCTCTTGGTCTGGAGGTTTTCATCTATAACATATGGGTGAGCCGAGGAGGATTTGATTTCTAAGACTTTTCTTTTCTAAGGTTCTTTAACAATGAGTTCAAGGATGACCTTGGTTCAAGGTGAAACTCACCTGTTCGTGGGTTGGTTGCTTAAACTTGTGCTGTTTATACTCAATAGTCTTTGTATATGCTTCTGGGTATGCATTTGACTACTTTGATAAGATCTGGTATTCAACAATATTTTCTCAAAGTTTGGTCCTGTTTTTTCATTCAGGAGTTCTCTGGAAGTTTCAATCCTGGGATAAATGAGGCCGAGCCCTCAAGATGCCTTTTTTGGTCTTCACATATATAGGAGATGTTTGTAGGGTACTTCTTCAGTCACAACATTAACACTACAGACTCTGAAGTTATTTATCTTGCATATAGAAATACAATGATGTTGCTGTCCAATCGATTGTCATTTGTGTAACGCCCCAAAACATTAAGATTGGGACAGTGTGCCAGGCAAAGGCTATGCTGAGTGCAGAGGGCTGGGCATTCATTTGTCAAAAGAGCTGAAAGATTTGCTTTATAGAAGGCTGGTTTTCCCCTGCGGAATTGGGCCTCTGAGCAATGCTCAGTCCCAAGATTATTTAAAGGGGATTATTTAAAGATAGTTAATTATTTCTAGGCTCATGGGAGCTGCCAAGGAACTTCATAGGGGTTCTAAACCTCAGGCCTGTGCATGGCCAGACCTCCCTATAGTGAGGTTGTTTTTGGCCCACACAATATTTTGCTTTATTATAATAAGTTTTAAAGCATTTCCAGTCTAAACATGGCTGGATTTCATTCATTCATGGCATCTGCCTGCTCCTTGAAGCAGGGGCCCCCTATTTGCCGTGCGTTCATCGTGTGCCAAGCATTTTACATACTTTTTTTTTTTTTTTTTTTCAGGAGAAAATCGTGAGTTAGATATTAGCATCTCCTGTTTATAAATGAGTAAATGAGGCTCAAAAGGAAAATCTTGCCAAAGGCAACTGGTAAATACCACTATGGATAGGCAGAGCATTAGGTTTGAGCCTTAATGGGTCTTGGTTTGAGCCTTAATGGGTCTTGGTTTGCTTGGATCTGTTTCTTCTCCTCCAGTGCCTTCCCAAGTGAGTGTATCAAGGGCCTCTCGACTCTATGACTAGGATTTATTCTTTTATATGAACAACGGAGACACTGGGCTTTTCCATCACAGACTTCATTCATTATTAGCTAAACTTGAGCAACTAAGGGTGTCATGATCTCGTCTTCCCTACAGGGATCCCCCTGCACCCACCCTATTCTCCTGGACAGCCCTTTTCAAGCCATTAGCAATTCGGAGCGTCCATATTGTGTCCTTAGTCGCAACTGAAAGAGCTTGCTCAGCGGAGAGAAGACCAGGGGAGAGGCGACATCGCATAATAAACCGTCTTCAAATAATTGAAAATCCAAAAGAGAAGAGTATGTCTATGGTTCCAAAGAGCAAAGCCAGGTAGAGCGGACCTGATAGAGCTGCGGTTGATAAGAGCTGCCCATCACCCCTAACGTCAAATCCATGCCAAGGCCCCCCGGATTCCTCCTCAGTCACCCCACCCTTAGGCCACCTGGAGGTGGAGACCTGAGCTAGCCGCGCCAGCGTCCCCGGTCGCCGCCCCCAGAGCCGCTGCGCTAGAGCCGAAGGGGACCCGCCCTTCTGCTGCGGCCGCGAAGCCGCCGTCTCCTTGGCAACCACAGACGCGGAGCGGCCCCGGTGCCACTACTCGCTCAGAGCTCCGTCGCCACTTGTTTCCCGGGTCCGAGTCTGCCTCTACCATGGCCTCCAAACAAACCAAAAAGAAAGAGGTGCATCGTATCAACTCGGCGCACGGATCGGATAAATCTAAAGAGTAAGGGACCTCTGCCTGCCGGTCCCGCCCTGGCCTACCCTGGTCCTGGGGCTGCTCTCTGCAGCAGGTGCCAGGGCGGGAGTGGGACCGGCCTACTCGCAGTTCCTCTGTCTTCTCTGGGACATTCATGCTCCCATTCCTTCCTCATGCCTACCTCCACCCTCCCCCTTCCCAGAGCCCCTGGTTTCTCTGCCTCAGGTGCCCAGTGGCACTTTTGGTTTCCCTCCGTGAACCTCCCACTCTTCCCGCCCCTCCCCTCCTTCATAGCCCATCCAGGTACATCCTGGGGCCCAGCTGCCTGACGAAAAAGGCGTAACTCAATAGGATGTCCCGTTAGGGTCACATCTTCCCGGCCCCAATAATGACAGAGACACACACACACAGAGAGACAGAGAGATTTGAACTCAGTGCTAATGGAGATTCCCTAGCTTCTATGGGCCCCATCCAACAACTAAAGAACTTCTATCAGATGACATCAGAAGTAAAGTGGTTTTAAAACGTTAAACCTAGGGACGCCTGGGAGGCTCAGTGGATTGGGTCTCTGCCTTTGGCTCAGGTCATGATTTCCGTGCTAGGATCAGCCCCCTGTCAGGCTCTCTGCTCAGAGGGGAGCCTGCTTCCCCCTCTCGCTGCCTGCCTCTCTACCTACTTGTGATCTCTCTCTCTGTCAAATAAATAAATAAATAAATAAAATCTTTAAAAAAAAAAGTTAAAACTATATAAATATATGGTTCATGTTACTAATGTGACTCCTTTCCTACACACATCCCCATGCTCCTGATTCTCTAGTTTCCAGTTCTGTCTTCCCTCCTAAGCAGGCTTCCAGCTATCTGGCAGATAATCCATTCATTTTATTAACTTAAATTTTAGATACTATATTACATATATAAGTGATTTTAACAAGATCTTATAAATCAGGTCATTTTAAGATTTACCAAGGATTTTCATTCTTCTAGGTCCAAGTCTTACAAGGCCCTATAGGATCAGACCCCTATTACTTTTCTAACTTTACCACTCCTTTGTTCACATACTAGTCTCCTCTCTACTCCCTGGAACACCTGTGTTGTTCCTACCTCAGGATCTTTGCACTTGCTGTTTCTACTGTGGGAAAGCTCTTCTCCCCAGATTTTTATGTGGTTTTCTCCCTCACCACCTTTAGGTGTGTACCTTTAGGGCCTATAGAAGCTAGGGAATCACCATTAAGCACTGAGTTCAAATCTCTCTGTCTCTGTGTGTGTGTCATTTTCTTGTGTCAGCTTCTTGGGCCAACTGGTTTAAAATCAGAGCCTCCATTTTCTTGCCTTCCCTATTTTGTTGCTTTATCTTTCTTGAAATTTTTATTCATTTAACATACCTATATATTTTTCTTTTTAAAAATTATGTTTACTTATATATCTTCCTGATAGAATGTAAGTTCCACAAGGGCAGAGCTTTTTTTTTTTTAATATACTATTGACTCCTTAGTATTTCAAGTGATTCTTGCCTTGTACATAGCAGACACTCAAAAATGCTTATTTAATGAGTGAATGACTAATTAAATAAGAGATTATAACAGGGTTGCAATGGAATTTTTGAATATATATAAAAAAAAACCCTTAGTCAATGATGGTTATAATTAATGAACTTTGATGGCTGACAACTCTCAAGGAGTTTTGGGGAAAATCTTTGACTTTAAAGAGTTTATGTCCTGAAAGAGATGAAATTGTTAACTCTCATGGGAGAGGGGGGGAAACTGACCAAACCAGATACCATAAATCATAGTACATGGCCTGGGCCAGTGATGGTTGTCACATGAGAGAGACAAGGTGCTTGCTGGTAAGATTCTAACTCTTTCCTTGCAAGCAGTTCCCATTTCTTTTTTGAGATGATAGTGTTATTTTTAACATGTTTATTTCTTCCAGAAAATATTTGAGTTGAATTGCATCAATAAAACTGTATATGTCAATTTATGAAAATACAAGCGTAAAGGCAAATAGTTACACAAAATCTAGGCTTTGCTAGAAACTATTGAGAATCAACTCATTAGATTTTGCTGTACATAATATAATAAAATGTGAAGTTTATTATAAATCAAGTCTCCCTTCAAAATTTTTCTGGAAATTCAATCATAGATATCAGGCTAAGTCATCATCAAAAGATAAGGTGTCACCTGCCTGGGACCTAGGGAACAAAGTCTATCAAGGCTTCTACATCATTTTACTGTACCTTATGGTTACACAGCCAATAAATGCAACCAACTCTAACATGGTCCTAGACATAGAAAGGAGAGAAAGGGTCTTCAGAGCTTTGAAAATAGCAATCTCTAGCATACCTCTTTTATTCCCTCAAATTATTTGTCCTAATGAGGACAAATACCATGTCTGGCTCTCGCCTAGCATGGTGGCTAATACTGACCATTTCCACTTGTTGATTAAATGAGCTCATAGTTTAGTGACCCAGCTTGGTTTCCATTCCTTCTGAATTAGATTAAAGCCTGGTTCTCCCTCTCTTTCTAATCTGTTTTGCTGAGATGGCAAAGTACAAAAGCTGAGAACTTACAACTGAGAAAGCAGAGTCATCTACGTCCAGCTCTGACCAAATTCACATGTCAGTATGACTTTGAATCACCAAGCAATGTTATGCCAGCGAATTGAGTTGTCAGTCCTTACATTAGATTCACTTACTATCATTTGGTCTATTTTCCTGTCTCAGGAAGGATGGAATTTCTGTTATAGCGTTCATTCTGGCACAAATTTTCTGTGACATTGGACGTGTCATTTTTCTATTCTGACATTCAGTGTTTTTCTTCTTTAAATGAAGAACCACCTAATTAAAATTGCCCCAGATCCAAGATCTTCTGTCCTCCCTTTTCTGCTTTATTTTCCCCTCTAGCTCTAAACTTCCATGACTTCATCAGATTAAAAAAAAAAAAAAAAAACTCTACTGTGTCCAAAATGGGTGAGGGAATTTTGTTACAGTTAAGTATTTAACACTTTGATTTAATTCATTTTTCCAGTAGAAGTTATCTTTTAAAAATTCTGTGTTCAGGAGCAATAACTGTCATAACAACTGTCACAAATTATAACTTTCAGTATCAAATATCTAATGATAATTAAAAATTATAAACCAGTCTAACTTAATCAATTTGAAAACTGATAGGCATGGCAAATACACCTTCATAAGTTAGATGCTATTAGAAGGGTTTTGGAAGTACTGAATATAAGCCTTTGTGTTATCATGGCTAACTTAAAAGAAAGAAAAGAAAGTATGCCTCTTAAATATTAGCAGTTATTAGAAATGTTGAAGCTTACATTTGTAAACACCAAACTCTTTGGAACTGTAATGGGCAGTTTGAGGTGGAGACACAATTTGGTGTTTATACTAAACAAAGTTTTGTTTTACTTCCAATAGCACCTTCAAACCAAGCTCAAACAAATAGATAATCTGTTAAACTAGCAAGGATTATGCAACCTTCCAGATTCTTAATGATGATGAAATATCATTAACCCTCTTTCCAAAACAGAATGAAATCTATTTCATAATGCTCAGTAATCTATCCTTACTGACTGAAATGCACATCTAAATATTTTGTAGACTTCTCAAAAAAGAACAACGTATCAGTCCATACGAAAATTTGAGAACAGGACTAATTGTGATCAATGTTATAAAAGCAACATAAAATAGAAGAATAAATATCTTAATGAGGATTAAATTAAGTGAGTTCTTGGTCATCAGAGGTTCAAGAGGGAGAGCAGATTAAATGAAAACATGCCATAGTGGTTGGTAGATAATATGTTCCTCCACCTTCAGGGATCAGGAAAGAAATTCCCCATGAGAAAGTGGGAAGGTGCCTACGGCACCATGTCCAGTCATCATAGCTCCACAGAGGAAGGCAAAGGTAAGAGAGCCAATGGAGGACAAAATAACTCAGGGCTCACAATGAGTTTTGTGATTTCCCAGATGACCTCTATTGACCCCAACAACTAAGGTCAATTAACAAATTTAAAAGGTTACTTCCTGTGACAGAAGCTTCCTTAGAGCAAAGCTTTTTCTTTATGTCAATTTCTCAAGAGTTCAGTGAGTACTTCTCATGCCCAACTCACTATGTAGGTCTGAGAGGACAAGGAATTGTGAAACATGGTACCTTCTCTCTGGGGATATGTGATCTAGGAAGAAAAAATATCCCCTAAGATTCACACCGAAGTAACTAGGAGGTATACGGTGATTCCACATTGGTCAGGGGTACTTGTTGGAAATAATGCAAGAGGCCGTATGTTCGCATGGAATTAGATGAGAGACATCATGAGAGTCCTACAATGAGGGCTCTATAGGGAAGAGGAGAGGAAGATCACTTCCAAACAGAGGTGGTCTGTTCTCACTCCTCTACCAGCCAATCCCCAATTCAGAAGGCACAAGTTAGCAAGATGGTCAGTGCAGGCTATGGGCCTGTAAATGGCACAGAAAGCCAACCAGATGGCTGGCATAGAGTGTCTGTGTCTGAATGGACTGGCCCTTAAAGCATCTAAAATGAATATGCAGCAGAATGAGAGGGACGGATTCAGGGATTTAAACTTAATTAAGGGATTTGAAGTATAAGGGAAAACACATAAGGATGTTTTTCTATATTAAAATAATGATTTATGAGGAATAATTCGACACTTGTCTGCATGGATTATATGTTGGATTAAGAATCATAATAGCAAGAAATGAATGGTGGTCTGAGATAATGGGGAATGCCTGATTTGGAGAGCTCTCCATGGCAGTGAGGGACATTCTGAAAGGGGAACTCTCAATGATAGTGAGGGACATTTTTTTTTAAATTAGTTTCAGAGGTAGAATTTAGCGATTTATCAGTTGCATATAACACCTAGTGCTCATTACATCAAGTGCCTGCCTTAGTACCCATCACCCAGTTATCCCTTTCACCCACCCACCCTCCATCCAGCAACTAGTGAGGGACATTTTTATTTATTTATTTTTTATTTTTAAAGACTTTATTTATTTATTTGAGAGAGTGAGAG